ACCCACAGTGCTGAAAAAAGGAAAAGCTGTCAGAGTCACAGCAGCACTTGCCTATAACCCCAGCTCCCAAGGAGACTGAGATAGGAGGACGTAAGTCAAAGCTGACCTGGGGACAAATGTGCAAAGAAGCTCTTTGAGAAGTTACACCAGGCTGGCGATGTATCAGTGGCACAACACCTGCCTAAGTGCAAGTCCTGAGTTCGATTCCCAGTACCAAGGGGGTAAAAAGAAGAAGTACTTATAGTAGCTGGGTTAGGCGCACTATACAACACCTGCAATCCCAGCACTCGGGAGGCTGAGGCAGGAGGCAGTTCGAGGTCGGCCTGCACTACATAGCGAGACCCTGTCTCGAAAAGGTGGAAAAGGTATGCCACTTTGAAAACTGCATTAGTACACTTTTTTTTAACCACAGGTTAATTTCTACTTAATCCTGGTATCATGAAAGCTAACACTGACTCTAAACTGATAGGTATTAAAATAAAGATTGATAAATTTTACTCCACAAAATTTTTAAGTTTTGTATGACCAAAAACCAAGAATTTAAAAAACCACCATACATAAACCAAAAGACAACTGTCAAACTTGGAGAAAATATCCTACAAAAGAAAACCTAACACTTCCAGTATATAAAGAAACATGAAGTATGTATTTAAAATTGAGGAGCTAGAGCCAGGAATGGCAGTGCATCCCTGTAATCCTAGCACTAGGGAAGCCGAGGCGGGAGGACGGTTTCCAATTCGAGACCTGCCTGGACTACAAAGTGAGCTCAAGGCCAGCCTGAACTGCATAGCGAGAGCCTGTCTCAAAAAGACAAAATAGATAAAATAAAATAAAAAAATGAAGTTGAAAGACAAAGACTAGAAATACAATAAACAAAAATGGATAAATACACATTAGCGTATTCTACATCATATACTGGAACATTATACACAATATGCACTATGAGTTGTATACCACATACTCAAGTAAATGTATGGTAACACATCAGACAACAAAGGAAGAGAGGATAAACACATGCTGTTGTAAGATGTTCATGCCACACCTGAAATAGTGTAGCATTACTTGAAGGTGGAGCAACCACTGAAAAAGGAGATAAAGGAGATGTGTACTTTAAAAAAACAGTAAATTAAATACCAACAATCTAACGGAAAAAATAGAGAATAGGAAGATCAAAAGAAGGAAAAATACATGGCCAATAAACCTACATAAAACTCTTCACTAAGACAAATGCAAATTCAATAATAAAAATTATCTTGGGGAAAGATCAGTAAGTTTCACAATATATTATGAAAAGTGTGGGCGCACCGGACAGGAAACAGGTTTTGTCATTCACTGCTGCTGGGAATGCAAACAGGCACGATCTTTACGAGGGCAATTCTGTATTCTCTGATGAAATTCCCCATCCTCTGTTAAATAGATGACCATATTAATATTTTTGTTTGGATCATTGAACACAACTATTTGCAGCCTCACTGTTTGAATGTTCACTTTGTATGCTTTGATCCTGTGACCTGAATAACCGTTTCAAAAATGATAGTGTGTAATCTATTAACTGGTGATATCTTACTGTTTTTTTTTTTTTTTTGTAGTTCTGTATTACTTGTACCCTTACACTGGTTTTTGTTTGTTTGTTTGTTTGTTTCTCTTTTTCCTTTTAAATAAAAAAAAAAAAATTCCCCATCCACGTGCTGTGGGCTGTTACTTACTTTTCCTACTTGGCCCAAACTTGCTAGTCACAGTCTGTTTCTTTTCCTACCTTTAATAAGATTGTGCTACCATTTAAAAAATAAATAATTCAAATACATATAGTCCTGTTTTGCTCTGTTCTGAAACAGGGTTTCATTATGTTACCCAGGATGGTCAGGAGGGTCTTAAACTCAGATTCAAGGGATCTTCCTGCCTCAGCCTCCCATGTAGCTGGAATTACAGGCACTGCTACCGCACCCTGTGTGGCTGCATCTACTCTGACATAGTAACGTGTGACAATGGAGAGGCAAGGTGCACAGCAGCGTTGGTACTACACAGTGAGACCTTGTCTTACAAACAGAAAGAAAAAAAGATTTTTGAAGAAATAAAAGATATATTCTAAGGGGCTAATCGTACCAACCTCTGGGGGACTTCTCTAGCAAAATGAAAAGTTCCTTACTTATCTAATGGATCAGAATCTCTAGGACTAAGGTACAGAAATTTGTACTTTAATCCCTCAGTTAATTTTTTTTTTTTTTTTTTTTGGTATGCTGTCACTTTCAGAGTAAGCAAAAAATAATGAAACAAAGAGTTACTTTAAAAGGCTGCTGGTAGGTGGTGACTCTTGAGCCAGTTTCAAGGAGGGTGAGAACATCTGATCAAGATAAAACAGCCATCCTCACCCCAGAGGAGGGCGGGAGAGGTGATTCATCATCGAGGTCTTTGGCAGCAGCCACACCTGTCCTGAGCAGGCAGCTGCACAGGACAGCATGGGCCAAAACGCTGGGAGCCAACTGAAAGACACGGGGCTTTCCTTGTTTAATTCTCTGAGTCTCTAATCTTTTTATTCAAGGCCCACTCTGGAAAGAGAAACCTCCACAGTAGTGAATTACTCAATGACAAAGAAGAGGACAGAAGCAACTTGGGTAACAAATAACAAAGACTTGAGGGAAAGTAAAGGAGCAAAAAAAGTCTCTTGGTTTCTGAACTGATTCCAGCCAAACACTTATAAAGATGAACTTTTATATAAAGATTTTCTTGCAAAACAATGAATAAAAATCAAAAATTATGCAGATTTAGAAGTTTATTCAAATTTAGAGTGAAAAAAACAAGAAATTTAAACTAAAGCCAGGTTTAGTGGTACAGACTTGTAATCCCACCACTCAGGAAGGAGGCTGAGGCAGGAGAAACAGAGTAGGAACCTGGGTTATGTACTGGGTTAAAAACCAAAAAAAAAAAAAAAAAAAAAAAGACAGATAGATACAGACTCGGGAAGTTGAGGCAGGAAGATCACTGTATGTGTGAGGCCAGCCTGGACTACAAAGGGAGTTTGAGGCCAGGCTGAACTGCACAGTAAAACCTTGTCTCAAAAAAGAGATAAAAAGAAAGAAATTTAAGCCATGAATTCCAATGTAACTGAACAGTTCTCCTATCTGTAAAATGACTGATACATTCCTAACATCCTGTCTAGCTCAAATTTCTAAAACTGCTACTCGAATTCTTCAAACTTTGAATTAAATACAGATTGTTTTAAACTATAACAGTTTAGCCTGATCATTCAAATTACCTTGAAATGTTAGAACGGTGGTAGCTGCCTCCCACAAGCAGTTCAGCAGTACCATTTTCAGACTTCCTGTCAGCATGTGTTGCGAATGAATGAAGAGCAAACAGGTAACTATTTTCTCTTCATATGCATTGCTAATAATAACACCATACAATCTAACTACTCACTGAGGAGGCATTAGATCTCCCAATCTGAGAATCCAGAGACTCATGAAAATAAACATTTACCAGTTAACACTGTGCTAAATATAGCTCACTAACAGTATTAAATTCTGAAGTAATTAAGAGTAAATGAAACTGAGCACGACGGAACATGCCTGTAATCCCAACTACTCAGAGGCTGAAGCAGGAGGATCCCAAGTTCAAAGCCAGCCCAGCAACACAGAAAGATTGTGTCTCAAAATTTTTTAAACAGTATAAGGACTGGGGACATAGTTGAGTGTTAAGAGTGCTAGCCTAGCATGTGGAGGGCTGTGGATTCATCCCCCATGCTGCAAAGAAAAGCAGATTATATGAAAATTTTGAGATATTTACCAAGCAAAATAGCATTGTTTTACAATCTGAGGGTCATTGTACATCTCCTTTGCTTAAACAGGGAAGGACTGTCAGTAGCACTGCTCCTCCCTAATTCTGCCTTTCGTAGCTATGCACATTACATACTTTGTTACTTAAGAGAGAGCACAGAGCTACCCACGGGGACAAGATTTTATCTATGCTGCAACTGAAGGGGCGGTAAGCAAGTTTATCATGACAGAATTTTACACAGAGTGTTTATTTCTCAATTTAAAATATTGTGCAGCAAAAGAAAAACTAAGAAAGTCAGCTTCCTTAGACCTCACGATTATGTTTTATTTTTAAGAGACTAGTCTGCTAGACTAACAAATCTTACAATTTAAGAGAAAGCAAGCCCAGTGGCAAGCTAAAAATAAACACTGGTCCCATAATATAACGATAGTTTTAAAACCTATGTAACATATGTGAACCACGGAGAACTCAAAACTGGGGAGGGCCAATGGAAGTAGGCCAGATAAAAATGATTACCACGAAACACTCACCCTTTACTGTAAGCTTGACCCTTCGGTCACATTGGCACTTTTAATAAACCCATCAGTCTAATCAAGAATGCTAGCTGACAGAATAACTTAAACTATGCACTTTTACAGTTAAGGAAATAATAATGTAACAGCTCAAAACCGATTGCACAGATCAGTGGTCCGAAGACAATTAAACTTTGTGTCTATCAGCAAAGTAGCAACCAGGTCCCTTAAAAACAAACTTGCTTAGACTGCTCCGTTACCTTTCGGAGGTAGCTTTTGTTTAAAATCGTTTATTTCATCGCTTAGAACAGCGTGTTGGCTTTGGAGTCACTCTGCGGTCTTGTAAACATTGTCTCCCAAGAAAGCAGAGGACTTTCTTTACCTAAGCTTCAAACAGAATCTGTCTGTTCTGGGGAGGCCACCACATACTCAGGAAAACTGGATCTTGGTCACCAAGGATAGCCTTTGAGGGATGTCCACCTCCACTGTGCATCCTAAGAATGAAAACAGTTTAAAAACTCAACTGAAGTCCAGTGACAGTTGGGTCCTGCACTCACAGCGTTTGGATTCTAAGAAAAGCACTGCTAGGAAGCTAGGGTTTATTGGCTGAGTTTCCAGGCTTCCTCCATCCCTTCGCGTTTCTACGCCCGTGCAGCACCGGCCTGCGGGACGCACAGGTCCGGGAAGGCGCTGAGGTCGGGTCGCGGGCCTTACCTGCCAGCGGCCATAGGTGAGCAAGACCAGCGTGATGGGGATGGCTGTGCCAGACATGGCGTGGGTGGACGGCAGGCCGTACTCAGAGTTGTACAGCACCTCCAGCTTGACCACAGGCGGCGAGGCGGGCCGCGGCCAGCGGATCACGTCCTTGGTGCACTGGCCCAGGTACATGACCATCACCCAGACGATCACCAGCCTGCGGCCCACCAAGGCGTCTAGGTTCCAGATCCAGAAGGGGAAGAAGAGGATGTAGAAGAGCTCGTTGCCCAGCTCGGTGCCCAGGCTGAACAGGTAGTAGAGTGGCCAGTTGCTCACGAGCGCCGGCTCGCCCTCTTCGCCCGTCAGCGAGTTGCGGCGCGGGCCCCGCTCGGCCGCCGGCCCCGGGCGCACGCCGTTAAGGCTGAGGGCGCCGCCGCCGTCCCCGGACTTGGGCCGCGCGCTCGTGCCCTGGCGCCGGGGGGCTCCTGCCGGGGGCGCCTCGGCCGCCTCAGCCTCGCGGGGCGGCAGCGCCCGCACGCCGCACAGACGCTGGAAGCGGGCCACCTTCTGCGGCTCCTGCAGCCAGCCGGCCAGCCGTGCCAGGCGCTGCCCCAGCGACATGCCGATGGGACAAGCGGGAGGGCGCGCCGGCCCCCAGCACAGCCCGGAACCGTCTCCGCGCGCCCTGCCCGCGGCGCGGCTGCGCCTCCTCGCTCCACCCGCCCGAGTCGCCGGGGATGGCGCCGCCGCCCGCGCGCCCCGCCCCGCCGCGAACGCCCCGCCCCGCCCCATAGACCCGCCCCGTCCGCGCCTCATAGCCCCGCCCACAGCGCTCGCCTCGCCCCGCCTCACCTCACCCACACGCTCCTCGCCCCGCCCCACCAGGCGCCGCCCGAAGGCTCCCGCGGCCACCGGCCACCAGGCGGCGCGCGTCCCGCAGGCCCCTCCCGGCGCGGACCCTCCCTCCCTCCCCCTGCAGCCCTCCGCCCGCAGCCTGCTGGTGCTCTCCGCGCCCCTTGGCGGACGCAGCTTCCGGGAGGCCGCGATCCCAGTTGCGGTCCCGGGCAGCACGGGTGACCAAGCAGCCGCACATCCTGTTGGCGCTGAGTCAAGCGGTGAATGATGAATGGAGGCACCGCGCGACTCCCCTCATTAACTAGTAATTACAGAGCGCCTGGGTCGGAAGAGGTCCGGAAAGCCACGTGCCGACTGCCCAGCGCGGCGACATTGGCTGCAGATGTGGAACCGAGCCAGGACGCGCGGACTGTCAAGGGGGGCATTGCCTTCAAATTCAAAACACTGTCAGACAGCGAACCCTTTGGGAGTACGCAGGGGAGCACAGGCTTACTGGATTGTGGGTGTCTGCTTGCCTCCTCATCAGATCTCAGACAAGTGGAGTTGCACAGAAGAAATGCAGCCAGTGCAGAATTCAGTATGCACATTCCCAGGCTGATCGGGCCTGGTTTAGAAGCTTAATTTTCTTGTGTCACAAGTTACAAATCTGACTTCTAGAGAGAACAGTTTTATTGTAAAGCGTCTGAACTCTAATTGTAGAAAGTTATTTCAGATAAGGTGAATGTCTATAATTAACAAATTTGAACGACTTCCAAGAAACAGGCTGGAACATGTCCCAAGTTTTACATCATTAGAAATACTTCAACTTCCCAGAGAAAGTACTTTCCTCCTCTCACTCCACTTGACAGGCTGTGGCTAGAGAAAGAATAAAGCTAACAGTTGGGGGACTATGGCAGGAAGAGCACAAGTTTGAAACCCACCTGGCAATTTAGCAAGACACTCCTCAAAAAATAAAGGGCTGGGGCCCAGCATAGTGGCCAGGCCTGTAACCCCACAGCACTCTGAGGCAGACAGACCTCAAGCTTGAGCCCAGTAATACCCTGCTCCAAAACAGCAAAAAAGAGCTGGGGGTGTAGCTCAGTGTGAAAGTCCTGGGTTCAGTCCTGATTCACACACACAGTCTTAGGAAGAGAGGGAAAAAAAACCCCAAAGATGGGAAATAGAAACAAGCAAAGATATATTCAGTGACAGTGTATAGGCCACAGAGAATTGGAAGGATGATTGGAAATGGAGGGGAGGTTAGGATTGTTAAAACTTAAAAATGTGTTTGATGTATCTTTAATTTATATATATATATATATTTTTTTTTTTTTTTCTTTTCCCCAAAACAGGGTTTTCTTAGTGGACATAGTGGTACATGCCTATAATCCCAGCAGTCAAGAGAGGATGAGGCAAGAGAATCACTTTGAATTCAAGACCACCCTGGGCTACACAGCAAGTTCAGTACCAGGCTGAACTACATAGTGAGACCCTCTCTCAAGAATCAAACAAACAAAAACAGGGTCTTCCTAGGTAGTCCTGGCTAGCATTGACTCTAAAGGTGGAGGCAGGATGTTTTCAAAGAATTTGAGGCCAGCCTGGGCCACACAGTAAGTTCCAGGTCAACCTGAGTACATAAGACCTTAAAAAACAAGGAAACAAACAAAAAAACCATAAAATTTACTATTAAAAAAAAAAGAACATCTTAACTTTTTTTTTTTTTAACAACCTCTCTTATGTGTAGATGTTTGAGGACTTTGAAGACCAGCAAGGTTAGGATTAGAAATGGACTTGTAGGATTGTGGCACTTGAAAGGGCCACCTTCTTAACATCCCCAATTAAGGAGACCCCTTAGGAGATGACAAAAGACTGAGGAGCTTAGTTAAGGATTTGTACAGTTGAATCTGTACAAGAAACATATACCACTCCTTCCTTCCTTCCTTTCTTCCTTCCTTCCATTTGAGACAGGTCTTGCTAAGTTACCCAGGCTGGCCTCAAACTCTCCACCCTCCTGCCTCAGCCTCCTAAGTACATGTGAGGGTCAGAAGGGGCCCCTGGGGAAGGTTGAAATACTGGAGCCCTGTTTAGAGGGTAGAAAATGCAGGCTCTGGATGCCTAGGAGCAGCAGGCAGTTTCCAAGCTACTCTGTGGTTTGGAGCTGACAGACTCCTGACCTGACTGCTCTCCCTGGAGAGAGGTTGCCGTGCCTACCTCAACTCCTGTTGGCTCACAAGACCAAGCCCCCAGCCACAAGTCCAATATCCAGTCAACCAACTGTGGACCCTGGAGGGGTAATGACAAGAACCTGCCTACCCTCATCTGATGGCAGTGGGAGGGGCAGTGAGGGAAATGCAGGGACAGTGAGAAAGGTTGGCCGCTGCTGACTGCAGCCTGGCGGGAGCTGCAGGAATGGCCACGTGGAGACTGGCCTTTGTGCACCCTTCACAGGCGCAGCGCACTTATTCTTAGAGACCCCTCTTCGCACACTGGAGCCCCCTAAAACTGTAACCCTTATCCCAGGCTGCTCACCCCAGCCACAAAGCCTCAACACTGATATAAAAATGGGCAGGGCAAAGACACCACCCCAAGGAACTGTCTTTACAGCCCTCCAGCGAAGCAAACTTGTCTCCCGACAGGGGTCCCCCCTGTTCCATCTTACAGGAAACCTGTGTTTCCTACTGTTCCTGCCTTGGGCATTTCCGGAGGGCCACACTGGGGAATCTCCAGGTCTCCAGGGTTGTGCCCTGCCAGGACCAGAATTACCTTTAACCTACAGGGCAGCCACGTGGCTCCTGCTCGGCAATCCCATCTGATTCCTTCCAGGAAGGGCAGTGACAGGGTCTCTCATCATTCTCAGCTCCCTTCATGCGTCAAAGCCTCCTTCCTCCAGCTGGACACTGGCTGGCCTTCCTCTGCCTCACCGCCCCTGCACCCACGCTGGTTCTCCCTCATTATCTTGCCAGAGGCTCTGGAATTGATTCCACACAGTGAGCACCCACCTTCTGTTGGCACAGGCAGTGGGTCGCCTGAGGTCTGTGCTTCCAGTCAGTGAGAGACAAGGTCAATCACTTTCCAGTGGTTACAACTTTTCTTTCTTTCTTTCTTTCTTTCTTTCTTTCTTTCTTTCTTTCTTTTTGTATTGGGGATTAAACTCAGGGCCTTCACACAGAGCTACTCAGCCCTTTATTCTTTGAGACAGGGTCTCACTAAATTGTCCAAATGAGACTCAGGGTTGGCACACTTCCTGCCTCAGCCTCCCAAATGCAAGCACCACCATCCTTGTTTGGCATTTGTTTTTCTTCGTTTAAAGCATTAAATCTAAACACGGAAACACTGTAGACATATCTTCTGCCTGCAGAGAAAGCTAGTTAGCAGTAAGAGGAAAGGTAACTAGCTGCCAAACTGAAAGCAACAGAATCAAAGGTTCTAGAAACTTCCGAACAAGGTTTGAGCCCCTCAGTCCAGTTGTTCCTACTGTCCCTGCAGCAGTCAGCCTTTTTCAATGTGATCTTTTCGACCTTTCCTTGGATTTCATGCACCAGTAAAGGTCCTTCTCTGTTTAGGTTTGTTTCAGTTGAGTTTCTGTTATTATCCAATAAAATATAATCACACAGGTGCTTAGAGTGTAATTAAAACCGGAAGCTAGAATCTAATTGCCAGTGTACAGCTTTGCCAACTAACAGTGCTGCTGCCACTCCTAGACAAGGTTCTGACATGAACATATAAATCTTTGTTATTTCCATTACAGCATTGATTACAAAATAGTTGAAGAGCTGATGGATTCCTATAAATGAATTCAGGCCCATGTGTAATCCCAGCACTCAGGAGGCTGAGGCAGGAGGATTACTGCAAATCTAAGGCCAGTTTAGGCTACATAGAGAGTTCAAGGCCATTCTGGATTACAGAGGAGACCCTGTCTCAAAAAACAAACAAAATGACAACAACAAAAAGATCAGCTTGACCTACATAGTGAGACTCTGTCTCAAAAAACAAACAAAGGGCTGGACATTTAGCTCAGTGGCATAAGTGCCTTCCTGGCAAGTGTGCGGTAATGAATTCACTTCCCAACACACACAAAAAAACCACAACAAAGGCATTTAGTACATTGTTAGTCGGAAGAGTTATGTTGGAGAGTTTTATCTTCAGCTGATATCCTCTGTGACCTTATGGAAACGAATCCTTTATAACCCCATTACAACACAGTACAATAATCTGTCCTCTCCATTTTACAGGTATATGGTTGACACATTGTGTCAACTTGAGAAGTTTAGAAGCTTCGCTAAGCGACTGAGCAGGGGCGCAGGGTCCTCTCTTTGTGAACATCCTGAGCCTGTGCAGGGGAGGGCAGGAGATGGTGTGAGTGCTGCATTCGCCCTAGGGCGGGTACCCTGCGTGCACTGTAAGGGAGGAAAAAAGATTTGCTCTCCGGCTTTTGCTCTTGTTGCTTTCTGTCTTCTGCCACCTTGAATGGTTGCCCCTGTGCCGTGCCACCCTGCCTTGCAGCCTGCTGATTAGTGTCTGAACCTCTACGAAGTATAAGCTAAATAAACCTTTCCTTCCTTAAGTTTGGGCATAGGGTATTTTGTTTCAGCAATAGGAGAAAAGTAACTGAGATCATAGGGTTGTAAAGAGGCTAAAATGATGTTAAGGTAAGACAGGAGACATGGCAGGTAGAAAGGAGACGCAGCGAACTGTCATTTTAAAATCGTACCCCCAGAAGCCTGCAGCTCCTTACACAGCTCCCAGCCTCTGTTGTATCTTCCCGCCCACCTCCTTCACTCTCACTGGCAGTTTTTGGTTTTTCCCTTCCATGCCCACCAACGCCCAAATCCTGTAAAAATCCCCTAAACCCATAAATCAACCTCTTGATAAGATAAAGGGCAAACCCACTTGGGACCTTTTCTGTCT